ACCCGAGTACGGATGGCAGCACCATTCTCCCCAGCATCATGGACGTACCTTTGCCGAGGGACTTTAGGTTGCCCGCCATCAAGGAGTACACAGGGGTCACTGACCCACGCGTCCACATGACGAGGTACAAGGCTGCTATGGTAATGATCGGGGCAGGGACGCCATCATGTGCCGAGCGTTCTTGTCCACCCTGGATGGAGCGGCCCAAGACTGGTTCAACACCATCCCTGATGGTTCGATCCAAAACTTTGGGGAGTTCTCCAAGAGCTTCCTGACATACTTCTCCGGTAGCATACAGCGTAAGAAACCCTTCTCTCACCTCTGTGTAGTGAAGCAAGATAGAGGCGAGAGCCTCAAAGACTTCCTGATAAAATGGAAAAAAGGAAGTCAATAATGTCTACGACTTCGACTCCAAGGCGGCGATCCCGATATTTATCAATGCCTTAAGATCAGGGTATTTCCACAAGCAGTTGAATGCCCACCACCCCCGCTCTTACGAAGATCTGATAAGTACGGCTAGCCGCTATGCTGAAGCAGAGGACGTCGACAGAAAGAAGAAGGACGAAGAGGATGGAAGGAAAGGTGGGAAGCCTGGGAAAGCGGGCCCCCTAGCCAGGCACCACCCTCGAACCACCGACCGCAGGGAAAGGCCGAGACACGAACGACCTCGCCTGGTCCCTTGCGTAATCTAACTCCTCTTACCCATCCCGTCAGTGTCATTCTACAGCAAGCTGAGGAGATGGGAATGGTAGAATTCCCCGAGGAGTGCATGAAGGTCTCCCCAAAGGCAGACCAAACAAAGTACTGCAGGTTTCATAGTCAAGCCGACCACGATATTAGATGAGTGTCACGTTTTGAAGAGACAAATAGAAGAACTCATCCAGCAGGGCTACTTTCGGCATTTTGTCAAGCGATCCAAGCAGCCGCAGCAGCCGCCACGATCCATCAAAAAATCCACCAAAAAAATGTCTGGAGAAATGAGGAGTCACCGAGCCGTCCACCTTGAAAAAAAGAGAACACGACCAAATATCTGAGCAGAGTGATAGCGAGAAAGAAACCGAGGTGGCGCCTAGACGACAAAAGAAGCACACCATACACTTTATCTATGGTGGACCTGCAGGGGGCGACATGCCAGCCGGAAAACAAAGAAAGTGGAGCCGGCGGCTATACGTGGGAGAAGTGGCGAGTCTCCCAGAGAAAAGAAACAGAGACAGGAGGCCATCACCTTCTCTGATGATGACCTCCCAGAGGGCCCGTTACCCCATCGTGACGCCCTGGGAATTGAGATGGACGTCAACGATGTCATTGTCCGCCGCATCTTAGTCGACACGGGAAGCTCAGTCAATGTGATGTATTACGATGCCTTCACCAAGTTAGGGATACTTAGGAACCAGCTCAAAGAAGTACGTACCCCACTCTCTGGATTTACGGATGATTCAGTGGAGACGGAGGGGTCAGTGGTCTTACCAGTGGAGATAGGCACGAGCCCTAACATTCGCAAACTTGACTTGGAATTCATCGTGGTAAGACTCACTTGTGCGCACAACATCATATTGGGGAGACCGGCACTAGAGAACCTCAAGGCCATAGTGTCGGTGGAACACTTGTGTATAAAGTTCCCCCACTCCGAGCGGGATAGGGTCGGCAGAGGAGACCAGCGAGCGGCCCGCAGTTGTTACGTTAAAGCATGCAAAAAGATTGGCATAAATGATCCATAAGTCCACACCATCTGTAAAGATAATTGATCGGGTATGGAGCTAGGAACATTTGATTAAGTATTTTCCTTAATATTCTAGTAGTCGTTTGTGATTAGTGTTTGGTAATCGCGGTCCGCCCGCTTTGCATTCTGAAATCTTTTGGAATAATATCTCGTGCTTGTGATCCGCCCATGTTGTTTCCAAAAAAAAAAAAAAAAAAAAAAAAAAAAAAAAAAAGGTCGGAGCCTGCCCCAGCCACGATCGGTCGAGGCGACGCCTCGGCCACGATCAGTCGAGGCGACGCCTCGGCCACGATCGGCCGAGGCGCACGCCTCGGCCACGGTCGGTCGAGGCGACGCCTCGGCCACGATCGGTCGAGGCGACGCCTCGGCCACTATCGGTCGAGGCGACGCCTCGGCCACGATCGGACGAGGCGACGCCTCGGCCACGGTCAGCCGAGGCGCACGCCTCGGCCACGGTCGGTCGAGGCGACGCCTCGGCCACGGTCGGCCGAGGCGCACACCTCGGCCACGGTCGGCCGAGGCGACGCCTCGGCCACGATCGGTCGAGGCGACGCCTCAGCCACGATCGGTCGAGGCGACGCATCGGCCACGATCGGTCGAGGCGCAAGCCTCGGCCACGATCGGTCGAGGCGACGCCTCGGCCGGAGACACGCACCTCTGCCAACCTAGGCCAAAGCCTATCTCGGCTAGCATAAGAATTAAAATAAAATCATATGTGATTAAAAATATATATATATATAAAATCACATATCCTAAATCAAGCAGGATTCTACACAGGATCAAGATAGATTCAGCCTTACTCCCAAGTCAACTCAAACACATCCGTTGACTCAGGAGTAGGGGGGACTGGTGACAGGATAATAGGGCTGGCACCCAACCCGGATCACAAATGAGCATCTGACTCAGCATCACATGGGAACCCAACGGGCAGAACTCCAACGGTTAGAATCCAACAGGTGTCACATTTATTGTCATTGAAGCCACCTTTGATGCCACCATTGATGAGAGAGAGTTAAAGCCTCAACGCCTCATTCATGACTCTTCATATTCTTGCCATTAGCTCAGCTCCCCAAGGATGTCTCTTCATGTTGTTACCGTTAGGACCTAGCATAAATAGAACTTCCCTCAGCTGAGCAGGGGACACACTGTACTTTCTATACTGAGACAAAGAGCAATACAACTATTGTTACTCTCTTTCACGGAACGTCATTCTAATATTATATTTCCGGTAACATTATTACCGTCAGCTATAATCCAGAAACCATATTAGTAGATATCCAATTGATAATTGTATTGTAAAAGAAGGCTTGTTAAAACTAACATTGAAGAAATTTATTTCACAAGGTCAAAGATTAAAATGGTCACCAAATCTCAAAAAGCCACATAAAGGCACTTTTATTGGTAAAGTAGTTATTCTATCAATCAATTATAGTTTATTTGACTACTATTAATTGTTTGACTTGGTTAAAAAATCGATATAAATGTTTGATTAACTAACTTTTTGTAACTCCAAAATGCTAAAATTCAAAAAGCTGTTCAAAGTAACTTTTTCAATTAACTTTTTGAGAAAAATAAATTATACCAAACAGTTATCAGCTAACAGCTAATTTACCAAATACCTTTCTACAATCAGTTAATGTTATCAACTAGTTATATCTTTTAATTAACACAATCAGCTAACAGCTGTCCGCTAACACGGCCAAAATAAAAGCAACATATATACAAATTAAACAAGTTATAAGCAAGACTTGTGCCTCCAAACATCTCCTCTACAAAAGATTGAGACGTCTAAGGTGTTGTTCATGTCTAAGGATCCAGTGTCGACGTGATATAATGGCCACCACTATATACACTTGTAACATTTAAGATAAAGATCGATAGATACAAGAATAATGATGAATTGGTTGAACGGAATAAATGTATCGTTATTATGAGAGAAAATGTATTGCTAGGTTCAAGGTAAAGGATTAAATCTGAGTAAGATTTAGTTTCTTGAGGATATGATATGATTGTGTTTGTGCCAACTCCTTTTTACAGCCATGGTGGCATGAAATAAGCCATATACAATGCCACAAATAACAATGACAACTAGGGTAAGAACTAAGAAGAAGCACAACTGCAGACACGTAGGTAGTAGAAGGCATCCTGCAGGTTGGCGTGGGGGATGACAACGACGTTGTTGGTATTATTTGTCTCTTTCTCAGGTTTAGAATTTAGAATGGAGAAATGTGTTTAGAGTTGGCTTCCTTAGCTCCATTCATGCGGTAAAGCAAGCAAGCAATTGCACCGCTAGCTTTGAGTAGCGGTGGTGGAAGCCGTGGGCGGATTAGTTGTTCAAGAGATGAGGAAATCCATATTTCTTTACATAAATTCTGGTTTTGGTATATCTATTTTAGGGAAACCTTACTATATATACACGTCAATAGGCCTCATAACTTCCTGAAGCCACGACAAACTCTATACGGTATGTATCTCGTGTTATGTATTTTTTGTGCATTGGGTTATGCATTTTTGTGCATTATGTTAAGACATTCTGTACATTAAGCATAGAGATTATGTACATGAAATTGATTAGTAGTTGTATAATACAGAACACATTGTATGTCTTATTTTTTGAATTCATGTCTTATATATTATGTAATTATGTGTGTATATGACATAAATTATTTACACAAATCAGATCTGAGAATAGGTAAAATAGAAAATATGTGTATGTATATTGTGTTATGCGTTTCTGTGTATCATGTTATGCATTTCTGTACATTAAGCGTAAGGATTTTGTGCATAGAATAAATTAAAATTTTGTGTTGTGAAACATGAGAAACAGAAAGTTACGGAATCCGTTAAAACTTACACATCATCGTTTTGATTCAGGGTCCGCAATACTGTGTGAACCTGGTCCACGATATAAATTGCCCATTTACTCTAATAGGCTGGTACCAGGTATAAAGAGTTAACTTTAATAAATTATATTTTAGATCATAGTTTACATTATAAGGTTGTTCATTGATAAATGTTCATTTGTAATATACTGAAGGTTCATTTTCTAATTTACTATATGTTCATATTTAGATAGTATATTAAAAAATAAACGTATACACTAAAATCGAACCTTAAAAAAATGAACTTGTAGTATATTATATTAAAAATTTAATTTGTATGTCTTTGATCTATTTTACAATGTGGACAATGATTGGTTACCATATCAATAGGCCTAAAAGAAATTTCTATCTAATTATGTGACCTGTATAAAAAAGATACAAAATAAAAAAGATTTGAGTGTTTGACAAATAACTGATAGCTGATTAAGTTAGCTAATAGTTGATAGCTAATTGGGTTAGCTGGTTTGACTAACTGATAGTATTAGCTGGTTGTAAAAAAGTATTTGGTAAATAGTTGTTTACTTTTAGTTGATTGTATTTAAATAACATATAAGAGATCGATAAATATATTGTGCTAATTTATTAACTCTTAAATTGCTTTTACAATATTTATTATTATTACTAGTTTTTTACGCGCATTGCGCGATTGGAATAATGCCAAATGCTTGTATTTTAAATAAGTACTTTTAAGTATATCAAGACAAGATTATATTGAAATCGTTCATGCATAAATAATTGAATGTTAAATTTGTGTATTTAAATAGGCAATTCTAAGTTTACAAATACAAGATATTATAGTCAAGATGGATTATAATTGTCAATAAAATAATTGTATAAGTATGGTTGAAACCAAATACGGGACATAAGAGAGAGCAAAAAAAAAAAAAAAAGGGGCATAAATTAAAATATTAAATATATACTAATATTGAAGAGCTAACCGCTGATTGCCAAACAAGGACATTCCGAGATAGTTTCCCACTTCAATTTGTTGTGTGATTTGAATACTCTTTTTGTAAATAAATCCCCCAAATAGTTAATATGATTGGATTAATTGTATTTTATTGTTATTTTTTTTAAACAATTATTATTATTATTATTATTATTATTATTATTATTATTATTATTATTATTATTATTATTATTATTATTATTATTATTATTATTATTATTATGTATACCCTTAGGTCATTTTACATGTTAATCTAAACAGTTAATTTTTTCAAATATCTTTTTACCAACCGTTGATATAATTCAATTCGCTGGTCAAATTTGCTAATATAATCCGCTAACTGCTGATTATCAAACAAGGACATTGTGAGGTAGTTCTCACTTCAATTTGTTGTATGATTTGAATACTCTCTTTGTCAACAAATCCCTCAATTAGTTAATATGATTGACTTTATTAATTATATATTTTTTTAAATTTTTTCATGGTATTAATAAAATACTTGGTAAATAAATATATAGCATTATTTTGTATTATAACTTTGACATTTAATTAAAATATAGTGCACAAAAAAATAATAGACAATATAGTGAATATAATCAATTGATGAATTTGAATGTAAAGAATTTTTACATTGGAGAAATATAAAGACAATGTAACTAATAAAATTATTTCTCTTAATTAATTTATTGATAATGAATAATTTTTTTTTTAATAAAGACATTATAGGGACAATGTAGCGAATATAATCAATTGATGAATTTGAATGTAAAGAATTTTTATATTGGAGAAAAATAAATACAATATAACTAATAAAATTATTATTTTTATTTAATTTGTTGATAATGAATAATTTTTTTTGAAAATAAAGACATTGTACACACATAATTCTAAATTAAAGAAATGCATATGTATTATTTTTTGTTGTAGCTACTAAATTATTATTTAATTTATTAAGAGTAAAATAGAGTACTAATTATGCCAACTTTGATTGAGATGTGGGTCGAACCTAAGACCTTCTTATTGAAATCAATGAGTAAGTTAATGGTGAACTAACAGAAATTAACGAAAAAGATAATACTTAACGGAAAAGTTAACGGATAATCAAATTCATTAAGGATAAATTAGAAAATCTTAAGAAAAATTAAAATCTGATCAATCTGAGCCATTTATTTGATTAAAAAATTTGACCGCCATTTTTTCTATCCATTATAAGTCTAACTCTCTTGGGCTCTTATTAGTATATAATAGATTATTATTATTATTATTATTATTATTATTGTTATTGTTATTATTATTATTATTATTATTGTTATTGTTATTATTATTATTATTATTATTATTATTATTATTATTATTATTATTATTATTATTATTATTATTATTATTATTATCATCATTATTATTATCATTATCATCATCATTATCATTATTATCATCATTATTATCATCATCATTATCATTATTATTTTTATTATTTTTAATATTTTTATCATTATTATCATCATTATCATTATCATTATCATTATCATCATTTACAAGAGTGAGTGAAATCAACAAGAAAGAAATACATTATTATTATTGTTGTTACAGAAATAGAAAGAAAAAGAGGATGAACAATAACAAGAGAGACATAAATAATGTTAGGGATGGCAATGGTAAAATGGTCATTTTATATATAAGGCCAATTCGCTAACCAAAAACTCTACTCTTTTTAGCTTTTCAGATTTTGTGTTATTGTCCTAATAAGCTAATTATGTAACAAGTCATTTTACCAAACACTTAAGCTCTGTTTAGCATAGCTTATTTAGGAGCTTATAGCTTATTTTAGAGTAAAAGACATTTTTGGTCCTAGACTTATAGTGGCACAGACAATTTTAGTCTTCTATAAGAAGGAAAATTATAAAAGGCCAAAGTTATGTAGATTATTATTCAAAGGGGCGGTACATCAGGAAAGGAACTTATTACATCAATGGAAATATGTGCCCCTTTTGCGGCTCTCCTTTGAAAAACTTCACTCGACGCTACCAGCAGACCCCGGATGGCACAGTCACTCGTCAGGGGAAAAAGGCTCGTTCTGAAAGGACATCTCCTCCGATGGTCCGGTAGGAGAAGGACAGAACGCATTCCAAAAGTCCGGCATAAGCGGTGGAACGACAGGCGGCTCGTCATCCGGATACAGCTCAAGGTAACGGGCGAAGTCAGCATCAGTCATTAGATCAGTCGCGGGTCCGTCTAAGTCATCAAGGGGAATGGTGAAAGTCATTTTGAAAGACAGTTGTTCTGGGACCGCCACCTCTACGAACGATCTGTCCTAAGCAGTGATGCGAGCTACAGTCGGAGGTGGGGGTCGACTAAAGACGGAGTATCTGCCACCAAAGAGGGAGCCTCAGTCAACGGTTGAGAGACAGAGGATGTGGCGCCGACATGATGCCTTCTGGAGAAAGGACGACGGGCCTTCTTCTTGTCCTCTTTCTCCGGTCTCGACCTCTTAGAAGGAAGGGGGCGACGCGGCGACCCGAAGTCAATCTTCTTCCCTTTCATAGGGGAACGACCCATGGTTGACTGAAAAGAGTGTGGAAGGACATAATAAGGAGTAGGGCGCTATTTATAGGGTCTCGAGAGAAGATAAAGGAATCTAAACGGCTCCGGCGAATCAGGAAAATCCCCAGGAATTTGGGCGTTACTCGGACAATTAAAGGTGATAGATTGAGAAGATTCGCTGATTAAGGAAGAGATATAGCTACTTTCCCATACCCGAGCCAGAAGGCGGGATATGAGAAAGTGAGGGACTAGTTGATGGGGTATGGACCCCGGCCCAAGAAGAGCAGGCCCAGAAGGTGGAGTCCAAGAAGGGTGAGCCCAGAACGAGTAAGGCATGGCCCAGTGGGTGAAAGACCGGACCAGTAGCAGGGCCCGATAAAGGCCTGGGCCAAGTTCAGGAGGCGGCCCAGGCCCAGGGCAGAGTGAGGACTCGGCGAGAGCCGTTACGCGGAATTTATAGCGGCAGTTAAAGGGCTAGACCAATGAGCCGTTCAGAGGCTCAAAAGAGCCGTTGGCCGGCCCGGTAACGGCACCCAACGGCCTTAAAGCATAATTAGCACTTAAGGACCCCTTTAATGTGTTCTTAACTCGGTTTAATGGAGGGCCTGCTATATAAAGGCCCCTCCGTGAATGTAAAGGACAGGCAAGTCCATGCCTTGAGAATAGAGAAGCACTTTTTCACTTTCAATTATTCTTTTCCTTTTTTTCAAAGCTTTGTTGAAAGGTGGATCCACCGACTAAGGTTGTGTTGGACCTCCCTGGGCCCAAAAACCCTAAAACCCTAAAACCAACACATAGTAATACTCTAAAATTGAACTTATATGCATATGTGTGCTTGGGAACAGTGTTCATGGAGCTCCTGATTTGGTTTTCTGCAGTGAGACTTTATCTAAACTTTTAATGTTCTTAAACTATTGTGAATTTTCCAAAATTTTATTCTATTTTGCTTCGTGAATATGAAATCATGAACAAAATACGCACGGATGTAATATTGAGAAGGAGATAGCATGAAATTACACAAATACCCTCCTCTCAAACAGCCATCTAATTGGAATGTAGACGGAGGACCAAAATTGTCCTCGTCATAATAAGAGTGTCCACAAATTGTCTGATTTTTTTATGGAGGACTAAAATTGTCCGTGCCATTATAAGTCTAGGACCAAAAATGTCTTTTACTCCTTATTTTAAGCTCCTAATAAGCTATAAGCTTTGTTGGTAATGTTCCTTAAATAAGCTAGTAGCTTAAAATAATAGCTTATTTTGAAGTTATTAAGCGTAGTAGTTTCTAAACTTTTTTTCCATCATTATCCTTATTATTTTAAATAAATAACATCATTTACCCCTCCCAATTAAAATCCTTTTGGCTTTTTCTCTTCTTCTATTTTTTTTTTTATTCATCCTTGGCGACTCCTTTACCGCCAAACATTCTCTTTAATCTTCATTCGAACAACTCTTCAGCAACCTTGTAATCCATGGTATGATTTTTCTTTATATTTTTTTGTGTTGTTGGTATATATGTTCTTTGGGTGCGTTTGTATGTGAGACAAAAATTTGTCTGTGAGACAAAAATTTGTCTGTGAGACAAAAATTTGTTTGTAATTTTTTTCTTTTACTTTGTATGTTAGCTGTAGCGAAGTGAAGATATTTCTATGTATTATGTTAGGTGATTTTGTTTTCAAATTAAGTGTCTTGCCCGCTCCTATTTTAGGTCATTGTCGGTTGCTTGTTTGGATATTGATTTTTATTCAAAAATGTATTTTTTTGCTTTAATTGGTTGTAAAGCCCGCCGAGCATAAATTCTTGAACAACACTTTTAGGGGCTTCCATCTTGATTCTTGAATTACCCTTTTAACTTTTGCTTGTGTCTGGTTTTCTTCATAGTTTGGATTTACCAATCATATTCTTTAGATGTACCCAAAAAAAAAAATTACTTTTAGGAGATGGTTGCATGTATTCTGCTTGTTTTTGAACTGGCTATGCACATAGACACAAACTTTGTTACGTTCCTTGCATTAGTATTTCACCCTATAAA